TGCTAAATTTTTTTCAAAAGTAACAAACCCTTAGAATATTGGGTTTGTAGGATATTCAAGGGTCCTGGTGAGGTGCTTGCAATTTGACTCGAACACTTGAGTCATAAAAAAAGTCAAAAAAAAGATCTCTTCAAAATGAAGTTTTAGATTCTTTTAAGTTTTTATTTCCTAAAAATTTATATTTAAAATAAAAATTGAAGAAATAAAAAACTTAAAAGAATATATAATTGGACAAAGTATATTATAATTTTTATATGGTAGAGTAATCAAATTTTTGGGTGCATTTGTTATTATCTGAAACCTTTGGGTTGTGTTTATTTTCCTTGAGCCTTGAGGAGGAAATAGTTTAAAACCCAAAATATGTGTTTGAACATTTTCAGACGATGAACAACCCGACTAAAATTAGCTTATCAATTAAATCCAAATCTAAAAAGCAATATGGCTTAGGGGTTATTGAAGTCAATTAATGGCGTTTGATTTAAAAATAGAGCACAAGATTTTGTATATTAAAGGAACACCACTTATAATTTGAGTGAAGTGGTGGTAGCGGTGACGGTGCATACATAGCACATGGAGTGAGGATATGATGGTGAGACAATTGGGTTAAGGAGCGAAAAACAAAAAGAAAAGAAGATGACAAATAAGGCAAAGAAAGATACAGTGGTTCACGGGTTGCTAACTGTTTCAAATCCATTAATAAAAAAAGAAAACCTCACATGACAACAAAATCATCAAATAATTCACATATCCAAAAGTTCTTTCTCTCTCTCACGCACTGATAATTAGGTATATTAGTACTATTCCATGCTAGAGCTAGGAGTGTATAGAGTAGTTAACTAGTGAGTTTTGTTTTGTGCTTCTTCATTAAAACCATGTCGTCTTCTTCTTCTACTTCTACTTCTGCAACTTGGAAGTTTCAGCTAGTTGTTTTGTTGTTAAGTTGGGGATGGTTTAGAGGTGGGAATGGTGATATTTCAAAAGTGGAAGATGCCCAGAATTTCCATGTATATTATGGACAAACCTTCAAAGTTATCAAGAACTCCATTGATGGCCGGAGCTACCTTCTTATCCAGGTACTCTTTATCTTCTGTAAATTTAATAGTTTACCTCAAGAAGAGGCACATTTTAGCTAGTTTGATGCACTGGCTTTGCATATAGAGACATGATAAATTGAGAGTGAATTAGCTAGATATATATATACTATATTAATTACATTTATTTGGTGAGAATATTGGCCTACAATATTGGTTGTTGGTTCGAACGGTAATGACAAATATTATAAAGATGACATTAAATATAAATTCATAAAAAAGACTGGCGTTTAACACAATAAAGAGTACATTGTAGTAACTAATATAAATAAAGTAATGCTATATTTAATACTTTTTAGTCTGGTAGTAACAAGCGGATGGAATCGGTTTTAAGGTGGCCCGTAGAGATCACGGGCCGTTGATGGCCCTTTTTTGGAACTCAGTCCACAATGACACCGTCTGGCTAATACAACTTGGCTACTTGTCACAGTTGGGCTTCCACAACCCAATGCCTGGTTTTTCTAGTCGGCTCATGGGCCAGTCATGAATTAGAGCAACGTTTTCAAAATTTCATGAGAATTTTATTGCATGTATTAACTATTGAAATTGAAAGATAATAAAAAAAAAAAAAAAAAAAAAAAGTATTTCTTGAAGATTTGAGGGTTTAGAGTTTGAGAAAGTGTTAGGTTGTTTTGGTATGTGAGAGAAGTTATGGTAAAGAGATATAATCTCATGTTTTATTATACATTGGGTATATGAAGTTGGATTAAAAATTGAACAGAACAACTCAAGAATGGCAGAAAGAACAAAGTATTGCACCTCCAGAATCAAATCTTTTGTCGTTCCATTGTCAAACTATTCAGTTGATACTGATTTCTTTCCAGGTACTAACTCAACTCAATTCATATTTCTTTTATTTCATCATTTTATTATCACTTTTTCTAATTCCTTTTCCCTTCTTATTTTAAATCCATCAGTATCCTTTTTCGAGGTGAGGATCCAGGCCTTCTCTAAGTTGTAATTATAATAATTTAGCAAGTTTTAATACTGATGAAATTATAAAGATTTTTGTTTCTTTTATTATATATAGTTGAATATATATATTTTTCTCCACAGCTACTAGGATTGTTAGAGAGCATGAAGGGCATTACATCGAGCTTCGTGGCTTCTGAATGCGTAATGAAATTATACGAAGGAGGAGAAATAGATATAATCAACAAAACTGAGCCACAACAACTTTCACTATATGCAGCTCATTTTACTAGCCAGACCGATCAGCCACAGGCTTGCAATTTCGCTATTTTTGCTCCTCTTGGAGAGGATTATCCTCTTCAGGTAGTCATCAATCAAACCCTTTTTACCTTTGGAAAAGATGCATTTCCAAGGAACATATTTTCCTCAAAAATTATTTTTTTATCATGATATTTTCCATGGTAATTTTCATCTTTTACGAGAGCTTTTATCCCTTGGAAATAGACAGTTTTGTTGTAATGTATAAGTACATTTTACTATTAGTAATCCAGTTTTCTTATGCATAACATGTAAATATAATAGCGAGCAGAGTGGATCAAGTTCTTGGGAGTTTTTGCAAACGTTGAAACGAGAGCCAACCAAGTGTATAGTGCAGTGAGAATTACAGTTTACCCTTGAACAAGCCGATTATAGATATTACTCAATGTGTTTATCAATGTTTCATTTAATTTTTGCAGGTGAAATCGAACTATTTGTGCCTGAATAAATCAGCAGCAAGCAAGACACAGTCATTCAAACCAATTGTTGCTTGGATGGAGTTGGATAACGTTTGTACCTATACATTTATCTGTGTGTTATGAATTAATATTTGCCATTTTAATTAAATTACTTGCATTTTCAGCAGGGTATCTGGTCTTTTAATCAGGAAACATTCAAGTTGAAGGTACAAACTCAATCTTCAATGTTGGATTATAATTTCCTTTGATTTATTTTTTATTTTTGATGCATTGAATTGGAAGAACAGTATGTGGAAGATGCAGGTGGAGAAAATGTAGATAACTCAATCAACAAGAAGACTTTTAACATCTCTATTCCTGATGATTTAGATGATTTGCATGCCATCCTTTGTGTAAGCTTTTTAATTTTAGATTAAACAATTTACTTTAAATCATATTTTTCATCAATTATAATTCTAACACTTGTTTATGAAATTTAGACGGTGGATGTTGTGATTGATGGAACGAATACTTCTGATCCGATTAACTACAATCAATCAACATTTCTCAAAAGTATTGATGTCCATGACAACTTTTTGCTCTGTTGCTTTCATTACAAATCAAAGCTTATGGAGATATGATAAAAGAATTCAAAATAATTCAATCACTCTTGGTAAGTATTTTTCATATTAATTTTCTTTTTCTTTTTTATATTTTTATAACTAACTAATTGTGAATTTTAAAACTAAAGATTGGTATGATGGAGCTGTGGCCCAACCTCAATTGGTTTTAGCAGATCTCATTGAAGCTCTATTTCCTACTGGAAATTATACCACCACATTCTTTAGAAACATTGCAAAGGTATTTCAGTAATTTTCTTACCATATTATAAAATATAATATAAGATATTTATGAGTAAATAGTTTATAATATGCAGGGAGAAGGTGTTGTAAATATTGGTGCAAGCATGTGCGATAGAAATATTTCCATTGCAATGGAGCCTACAATTATTCCTTGCCAATAGTAATTTACGGTATTATGATCTCCATATTTCTAATTAATAATGTCCTTTTACAAGAAGACATCAAAAAAAAATTTCTTTTGATTTTGAGTTGGCACAATATGTAAGTTTAATTGAATATTTATTTGTTGAAAATGAATCAGATAGTTTCCTAGTCCACTTCAAGTGAAGAAGATGTATCACCTTATTGTGAATGAATTTATTGGTAATAAATATGATGCCGGTGAATTTTTTGTTTTTTGAAAGCTGTTGTATAAAACATTCATCAATTTTACAATAATAAGACAATTAGGTTTATGAAAATGCAGAATAATGATATTTGTTAAAACTTTATACCGAGTAAGGACGAAGTTGTTTTCTTCGGCAAAATTAGTACATCAACTTGGTGTGCTGAGAAAAAGTTATAATATCCCAACAGACATGATCCATAAACTGCGGACGCCGGATAATATTTTATGGCAATGCTAATCTAATTCCCTGCTGGATTTCTATTCCAAGACAAGTAAGTTGGATCCCCAAGAGGCCTACACAAAACACAAAACCATCTCAAATGAATTGACGCTATATAATTTACAAGAACAGATTGTGCACTACACAAGAAGATGTACAATCAAAGAAATTAATTATCATTACCGGAAACAAGATCATCATCAATTCGAGTCAGTTAAATATATGCCGAAATCATGATTCTCGCTCAAGAGCAAAGAAATGGAAACATGAATCATCATGCAAAGCAATTTTCAGCCACTTCTATTGTACATCTCCATATATGCGATCTGAAGGAAATATACAACTAAACTAAATCCTAAAGCTAGTACACTGCAAAAATACTATAGGGTACATCACAGATTAGGAATTTAGGATGAGAAATAATTTGTCTTTAGGGTGGAAAATTTCTCTAGAGAAAATTTTCAAACATAAAATTTATTTACTTCAAATGATTATATTGATAAATAGAAATCAGTATGAGTTTAGATATTAACTCACCTTGGTTTGGCCACATATACAAGTATGAAGGATATTGCCAAGAACAGGCATAGTCCGCCAACGGTAAGATATGCTATGCCCAGAAAATCATTTTTTCCGCCTATCCAACTTGTGGTTGAAAGAACCACCTTCTTTTTACCCCCGAAACTGTAAGTGTTATAATTGTTCTGGATTACGACTGTAACTTGGTCATTAACTTGAAGATCTACCTCTATTTTTCCATATAATTTTCTAAAACTTGGAAGTGCAGCAGTACGCATCCAAACTATAAGATCATCTTGTTCGCTCAACTGTCATACACAAACCAGTAATGAGAAACATCTTTTATAGTTAAAGAAAAGGAAAAAAATTAAAAAGCAGTAACGTTATAAAACTAACAGGAAAGAATAACAAAAGTATACTCACTGGTATGCTAGAATTGAGTTTTCCACCTCCAATCAACTGTCCAGTCTGGAAATTTTTGGGATAGACATCAGACCCAAATTTATGCCCTTTGTCACTTTTCCAGGCTATGTTCTTCTTGCTAACCTCTAGCGCCTTGTTTTTCACTGAAAACCCATATGTGTCATTGAACAAACTCCATGCAGTAAGGCCACAAGGAACAATTGGGAAACCTTTTGATGTGGCCTCAGGAGCACAGTCTTTTGTATCACTTTCATATTTGCTACTCCGCAATTGTTTTTCACTTCGACTTTTAACATATCTGAAAGCAATTTTTAGACTTCAAATTAAGAGAAGGTTCAAAAAGATACAGAAGTCCAACAGAATATGATGACAGGATGGTTAATATATGGTAAACACTGTACAAGGTTCCAAATTCAAAAATAAAACTCTACTTTTCAAATTCATAAAAATTTTAATTCCAATAAATAATAAGCAAAGCAGAAATGGGAAGTTGTTACAAGGTAAATTTAGAATCTCAAATTAAATTATAAATTTATACTATCACCGCATTAATCGCAATTAAATCTGTTAAATTGTATTTCATTCAGAAAATCATCTTGACTATTTCTCAACTTCATCTCCTTATAAATACAAGGCAACATTTAGATCTTGACACTCATATTTATTCAATTTTTCATCGTTCTTCAAAAATTTTGAATAGGTTGAAGAGTTAAAAACTAATTGAATAGAAGATTAGAAGAGGAAAGTGAGCCACAAAAGGAACAAACATATCTTACTCGCACTATTAAAATCATTCATTATGTAAAAGCATTAGCTTAAATATGATTTAAAGGATATTTTTCTTCATAGTAAAAAATCTCAGCCAACTCTGGGCTCTGTTTTTGAGAACTCTGCTACAATTTTTGGCTTCTTTGAAAGAAAAATTTAGGAAGGATAGGAATGCAGTAGTCTGCAAATGCCACTTCTCTTGGTCCAATTTGGAGCATTTGGCGTAACAGAATTAAGTACACTTTTGGGGGTGAGAACTTTCTTTTACAAAGCCTAAGGTTCTGTTCCGGAGATCAGTTTTCAGCTTGATGTCTTAATCAAATTGCAAGGTTTACTATGCTTCATTTTTCAAATTTCCAGAATCCTCACAATTTCAGGAGTTAAATGATTTTGTTTTGGTTCTCTCAGCCTACATCATCTCATTTATAATTCCTGTGTCGATGATCACAAGTATTTTCCTCAAAATATATTGTGTAGGAGAAGCCTATGCAATTTATTCACATAAACAATTCTTTCTTTCAAAGTATATGCTACAAATATTTGTGTGATTGTAAGCACAGAACTAGATGAAACAAAGGTAAAGATGACATCCTAGCTCAAGCTTTCAATTTATTAATCATCAAACTCACTGCCTCCTCCATTATGATCATAAATTTCACAAATTTTTTTTTTTTTTACCAATTTCAAGAGATCTTTAAACATCAAAACTCAGAATTAGGACTTTTACTGGGAGGAGAATGACAATCTCTATGTCTAGGTTTACGAACAAGTAGTAATTTTTAGAAATCACATAAATTCACAACCAAACATATAGAAAATATAACAATATCAAACCTCTCAAAAATGTAGAACTATCCAAACAATTGCACATAAATTACAAACAGATTGTGCATACCGACGATGATTCTGGTAGAAGTTATCAAGCTGATAGTAGATAAAAACAGGACTTTTCATTTCCTTTGTAATCTGGAACATATCAAGTTAATGCACAGAAGAAAAATGTTACTAATATATAATTTAAAAATGAAGAATAAACCTGAAAATCGTTGAGAAAATAAAATAAAGGACTAACATTCAAACTCCTAGTGCAGGTCTTGTTAGTGGCAGTGCTTTGGATATATGCAAGCATATTTGAGGAATAATTAGAAGGAACACAATCAATATCATATCTATCCACAATTTCCACCACCTGCATATAAAATAAATAAAGAAACCATAGTTTAATATTAAATATCAATCATTTCCAAAGTTGAGAAACTAAAATAAATTCAGTATATATATTATATGATTAAAAATATTACACTTTCTGATGCAAATAATGAAAAGAGACCAACTGGGATGAAGATGACACCAACGGCAGTAAATATCATAATCACCTGAAACCCCAATACAAGAAATTCAGAAAATAATCAGAGAAAAAAAGATTATATATTATATATTTTAATCCATACATATCCGGGTGTTAGAATTGGCTTGCATGCCGGAAGCTCTTGCTGGGTAAACTTAGAATCTGACAACAAAAACAAAAACAAAAAAATGTCAAGAAAAAGAAATTCCCAAAAACAAACCCGGAAACAGAATGGTTAAAATAAAACAGAAAGACGAATGAAATAAAGAAAATCACATTTGGGTTTCTTGGTTCTGGAAGAAGAAGAAGAAGAATTTGAAGGAGCATCTGTGCCTCCAGAACTGGCCGATCCTCCCTTCATCTCAAACAAAAGAAAAATGAAAGAGTTTGAGATTAACGTGTCCGTTTCTTATTTTTTATTGTTTTAGATATTTTCCATTTGGGATGCTGTGTATATTAGGAAATTTAAAAATAAACAAAAAGGAAAGAAAAACGAAAAATGGTTGACATATAAGGCGGAGGATGAGAGGTAAATTTATGTAACTAACGGTCTTCTTTATAAAGCAGAGTTTCAATTTAGTTTGTTTTGTCTTTTGTTTTACAGCGGCTGACCTTCGTACACCCTCCTCAATTCATCATCAGACTTTCTCCCCTGCCTCGAGTTAGGTGGTGCAGTGCAAGTGTGCAACCCATCACATGCCTTACTGTTGTTTCCGTAAACTGGTTAACCCCTAACTTTTAAGACTTTTCATTTACATCCCTAATTGAATAGTTGTTGTGGCCATTAAACCTTCTAATTTTTTAGTCCACCCCCTATTTCGTAATTATCATATGAGATTCATTTTAAGGTCACGCTATTTGCAACAATATATATTTTTGTTCAATTAAGCATTGATCTATTGCTTTTATGCCGAAATTATGAAAGCATATAGGTAAAAATCTTTTTTTTTTTTTTAAATAATAAAAAAATACTAGTGGATGTTTTTAAATAATAGATTCAAGATCAATTTTAGGTGAAAGGAGTCTCATCGCTGAAAGGGTGATCAACAATAATTATAAGGGATATTATGCAAAGTTTCATAATGATAGGTGGTTTGCTGATATTGAAAAATAAATGCTATGAGAGCTCCAAAATGATCCCATGTGTAATTGTAAATTTCCTAAGAGTCCCACTAGGGGCGGTGACTGACCGATGGTCCATGTTAGACATGGGCCGAACCTACCCGCCTTTAACTCAGCAGTTTCCCTATTATTTCTAACTATTAAAACATTATTAATGTTCATTTAGTTTTCAAGTATCAATACTAATTTCCCCATTTTTGGCTTAAAATGAAGAAAATCAAACCTTGTTTAGTGGCTTGGAGGTTTCTTTCTTTCTTTATTATTATTGTTGCCTAAGTTAAACGTGAAATATGTTAATTGAAGTAATATGATTGAATGAGATGTAAAATATTTCCAGAAAAGGCTTCAGCTGGGATGGGTTGCAGCAAGAGCGTGCCAAAGTAAAACTTTCCTCCGACATTCAATAATGTGATTTTAAGAGTCAGTTAATTGAGGCAATGGTCTATTACATTAATTTTTATTTTTATTTTTATTTTATTTACGGGTATTTGCTAATTGGGTGAATAATAGCCACTAATTTCAAAATACATGGAAAATAATTATTTTATTTTATTCAAAAACCCCATCCATGTATGCCTTGTCCAGTGTTTTAAAAATCGGCCCGACCTAGCTAGTTTTGGCCTGACCCAGCCTGGCTCGACCCGGATTGGTTTAACTAGTTTAACCAAGACCCGAGACCAGTTGACCGTTGATTTGCAATTGGGGTGTGTTTGCTAAATTTCAAACCTGTAAGGACTTAAATAGTTTTTAAGGGCTTATTTCTTTTTGTTGTTGAAAGTTGTGTGTATTTGTATATATAATTCAGCCAATCAATTTTGTAGGATTGACTCTTTGTAATAATGTTTATTTATCAATAAAAAATATATTTTATTCTATATTGTGTAAATCAAATTATATGTATAGATATATGTTCTTATGATGGTAGAATCGTGACTAAGGTATTAAGTATTTTAAATCTTGATAGTGAGAACCATAAAATCAAATATGGTGTCCATTCTAGAAATGTATGTAGTCCTAGTATTATTATAACCTAGAACACAGATAATACAGTAAAGTTATCATAATGATGAACGACCCTGTCATAAGATAATGGTTGATCTTACTTGTCAAGGTTGTTTGCGGACAACCTGATGCAACACATGTGTGTTTGCTATGGGTAAGTTTATTGGACAGACCCATCAGATGATTCTATATAGATGGTAACCCTAGTGTCTATGGAATAAATCATCTACCGGATGGTAGTGCATGTGATCCTTAGACTTGAGATCACCGGAGCGCCTTATGCACCAATTGGTGTAGTTTGACACTAGCCCAACGTAGTTTTATTCAGAACTCTAAGAACAGTAATGATTGGCTACATCAAGAAGTGTATCAAGACTATAGTGGATTGACAAATGATTCATCATTCCCAGGTATAAGAGAAGTTATCTCACTGCATAATTCAGTAAATGGTAATAACACTAAATTTGTGGGCACAGTGGGAATGAGTTCTTGCTCAATCCAATTTATTATCTCAGTCATTGGTCTGGTAACTGAACAAAAAGATATCAAAGATATCTGAGGTTGACATTATTTCTGTACCTCAGCCTTGATAAGATAACGAATGATAAAAAGATTTGATTGCATAGTAACCATATCGTTGATAGGTAACTATTTCGCTGAATCCGAATCTATCAAGTAGTCATGATGCCTTGATAACTAAGGGTCAATCTTAGTCTTTGTGGAGTGACATGATTAATTTGTGCTAATCATGATACTACTCACTGCCGATATGATAAAAAGCCTACGGGTCATACACTTAGAAGATAATTTAAGGATCAAAATGTGAAAAGGGTATTTTCATCTTTTATGAAGAAATGGTACTTTGGTAATCTCACAGCGTAATTAAATTTGTTGAAGTTGTTGCCCATAATCAATTTTAATATTGAAATTAAAATTAGTGAGATTATATTTAAATATATGTGCACATATATTTAAATAAATTATTTTTATTATTTAATGTTAAGTTAATATATTTTAATTTATGAATTGATTTTAATAATAATAATTAATTAAAAATATCAATTTAGCTTGTTTGGCTACAATGGTGGATTAGAATTGGAACACATGACTATTCCTAAGTAGAATAGGGTTTTAATTAGTTGAATTGAAAAAACCCTAGCCACCCAAAACACCCGACACGTTTTCTTCATTGAGTGGAGAAGAAAAAATTCAGCTTTGATTCTTAAAGTCATCAAGTGGAGTATGAAATAGCAGGCTTGGCAGTTCCAGATGTGTCCACTTTGCTTGTTTGATGGGACTCCAACACCTTAATACAAAATTACATTAGCTAATAGCATTATTACACAAAAATATCAACTTAATGAAATCTGGCCAGCCAATAATTTATGAGACCATCAATTTAAATAACAAACATACAATATAAACAGTTGTGTTTAGAATTCTGAGGTTAGTTAATGAATGTGGTGTGCGCAGGGATTACCAACAATAACAACTAATTATGAGACGTTGAATAAACTAGTAGAACAGAATGACCAAGTAATATAAATGTTTCACTTCTGTTTAATCTTTTCTCCATTGGAATATATGCATTCACGTAAAAGAATACAAAACAATTAAAACTGTTTAACCATAAAATAAAGTCAGAAACTGAGAAATACCTGCAGAGGATACCCAGAAAAAGCTCCAGGAAATTGCTCGGCCATTATTTCTATCACTGCAAGGAATGCTACAACCTACCAAAGCAACAAAAAATATTATGATATGGAATACAATAAACCAGAGAGCATTAAAATATTTACATTTGGTCAAAGGTGCAGGACCTGTATTACCTTTTTTTCCGATTTGTGGGGAGATCACAGCATATACCTGTGAATTCTCTAGAGTCTTATACAATCTATGCCTGTCTCCACCAGTGGTTCCCATAATAAAAGGGCATTCCAATTTTGCAATACAGCTCTGTGTTACTACATTTTGCAAGAACCACAGGAGATCAAATTACATGAAGGGAAAACTTGTATGCAATATTATGTTGTCTATAAACAATTGGTGTAGGCACAATTAAACGAAACATATTGAATTAAACTGGTCTGATGATTAATAAAATTATAAGGTCAATGATCCTCAGACTACTACTAGACCGTAAGACAACTTATAATTTGAGAAATAAGTAAAACCTGATAACAGTTGCAACGAAAATGTTGGACAGTATGTTTAGTCCTTCTGTACAATAAATCTTACCGATTAAATCTTTTTGTCTCATCAAATAATTTCTATGAACACTTGTGATTTAATTCACCTTAAATTACCGAATCCAATCTTCTTTCTTTACTAAAAATATAAGTTTCAACATCTGGATAACTTTTTTCTTTCAAAATAACTAGTACTGTAACTCGGTACGATTCACTGTACCGGGCACAGTATAGTCCACCACAATCATGTTTGGATATTTATCAAACACTTTCCCTGTCAGAAGGACCATACAACAGAATCTCTTTCCCACATACTTCTATTGTTTTCCCGGATTCATCTTTCAAGCTAAATGATACAGGAACCAACTGAAGTCCAATGGAATCTGCTGCAGAGAGTATAACCATTTACCTGGAATTGTTAAAGCAATCCAGCGCAAGAGGCAAATCATTAATTTATGCTACACAGAGTATAACTACTCTTCTCAATTAAATTCTTCCAACATAATGTTTTTTAAAATTAGTTTTGAATAAGATTTAAACTACTTCATAATTGATTTTCCACACGTGTGCAAAATTAAGCAAAGCAATAAAAATCATATCACTTAAACAGGTCGAAGCAAATGGAATGGAGCAATATAGGAAAAGCACAAAGACGAAGGAATCCACAATTAATGTTGATATTTACATATAAACACCTTTGAAATTCACTTGACAGATAGCTTTTATAATCGCTGTAAAAAGTTTTCCAATTGAACATGATAAGTGAAGACTATATATTCAGCTATACTCTATCCTTAATGACCCCAAGCACCTCCCTGGCTACTAAGCACCACAAAACAGAAAATTCAGCACAACTCACAATCCTTGCCAATGTTGCAAGCTAATCAGTATCAAATCAATGATAGTAAAACATATTTTAGTTACCCAATTCCCGTTTGAGGACAAAATGTTTCAAGTCTACACAGCACAACAACAATAAATACATAATGATACGGATGTGTGTGTGTATGTGGGTGTCTATTATATATATCTATATATCAGGTGAAAACGTCCTGGAATTTTTAATGGGCAGATTAAGGACTAACAATAAGTCGTTAGCTTAACAAAATGTAAAGTCAAAGGAGCAATTGCACATTAAAAATTTTGAAACGTCCACACCTATATGGTTGAAGGGTTGTTACAAGTGAGTTCCATTATGGGAATATGAAAGTTCTTGGACATGGATGATTCCAAATGTGAATTGGCTTTGTTGTTGTGACATTGACATAACTATAGGGCCAAAGATCTTTGTCCTGAAAAACATGTTCTTAGTTCCGTTACTAGAACATCTCTTTCGAATTCTTGCTGCAGAGAACAACTCAAGTCTTCTCTAGCTGATAAATGTGTCAAACAAGCTTTAAATAATAATGATTACGCCGCAGACACACATAATATATTACTTTAATTGTCAGTAAACAAAAACTGGGTTTAAATATAAAACACAAACATAAGCGAATTTACCTCACCTAGTTCAGTCCTATCTTTACCTTTTGCAAAGAACTTGAACTTACTGCTTCTGATTTCTCTCTGAAACAAAATAAAACTGAGAGGCGAATAGAGGAGTTGAGTTTTAAAGTTCTAAAGAGAAGACAAAAGAGGCCGTGAAGCTGGCGTGGTTTGAATTAAATATGACTATTTGTTTCACCCATTGGAATGATATTGAGTTGTAAAAAGATATAACCAAATAAGTCAGTTAGATTCAATTGTTAGGACAAATATGTTGCCTGCAAAACCAATTAAGTAACAAGGAATGCATGGACATAATTTACCACTTGGCTAGAGTTAGGCCAGGTTGATTGGATGGAAACAAAAATAGTAAGAAGGAAAAAGAAAAATAAAAACATCCTATGCACCAAGAGTTTGAGGGGATAAATTTCACACCTTGGCAGTTCAATAGATTGATATGGCGAAACAATCCCAAAAAACCAGTCAAGTCCAAAGTAGTTTTTAAAGTTACAGGCCCATCACCATTCAGGATAGCCATTTTGTAAACCATCGAATGATTGCTCAAGCTACTGTCACTCCCATAGCCATTGTCTAATGGTGACTATCAGAGAGAAGATGTTTATATTCAACTAACTCTAACCATTTCAAGTTTCCCTCTCATAAACCTATATTGTCTCAAACACAAGGCATTTGCATCAAATAAATAACAACAAGCCGCACAAACGGCAAGACAATTCTTACAAGATACCATAAATATTTAACAATGTGCGTGTGTGAGGACAGCGAGATGAGTTATGTTATGTCCATCCCGGAAAAGAAAAAGCAAACAACTATTTGCTTTGAACTTCGGTAAGAAAGAAACCGACGTCAGCAGCGACGGCACTACACGGCTGCGGCCTTGGAGATGATGCCTTGGCGTTTGACAGTGGCGAAGCAAAACACATGAGCCGAGAGTCAGTCAAGTGATTCGGACAGGCGAAGGCGGTACTTCGACGGTAGCCGGTGAAAGCAGTGGTGCTGCGACCCCTTTTTTTATTTTTATTTTTTTATTCCAGGGGTTTTGAGTATTGCTAATTGTGTCAAGGCTTGTGGCAAATGCGACTCCTGCAGGTGACATATTCATTTTTAAGGCTATGGAAATTAAATTTGATTTAAGATTTTAATATAAATTTATCATTCGTTTAAAAAGGTTTTCATGAGTTCAATAATGAAATTTAAAGTAACCACTAAATCTAACTTCATTAACAAAACATAAGACAAATATGTAATTAGTCTAATTCAATCGCATGTATTAAGCAGGAACATTTAAGTCTCCATATTATAACACACTCAACAAAGTTAAAACATCAGCTGTGATAATAGGTGCCAATCATAATACTCAATACTCATCACGGTCTTCTATTTTCAAACTCCATTATTCCCTTACATCTTCAATTGATTCATGTACATCATATTCCACTCCTTTATTTTTCATTATTTGGACAACACGTTAAGGAAGAAACCAGAGGCAACACCCTTGTTAGTTAGCTCAACCTTAACACAACAGTGTACAATTTAGTCACAACACTCAATTGTTCACAGCGGATTGGACCTCAAGCTCCAAACAACCTGAATACGATGAGTTCAAACAAGAGTTTGAATGAGTTACTACTCGGTAGCTTTAGGAGTGATTCAAGCAATCAGGATTGAAGATTTGGGAGAATCAGGTAGCACAAACAGATTACCGTTCAATCGCGACTGTGAGCGTTTGCTGCTACACAAAACAATACGCAAATTAGCTTCAATGAAAATGGATACTACATGAGAACAGGGTGCAGTGAGTTAGTGTCAATGCTTGTGAAGGTTGTGTTTTGGATGCAGGCTTTGATAGTTGTTGTTGACCCTCTTCAATTATAATCGGTACATTCTTCACCTGCAAGAGTTTCTAAAAGAACAAGTAATTCCTGTCCTCTTTTATATTTTAGCACTAATTAGCGGCAAAGGAAATAAATATACCAGGCTTTTGTACTGCAGATGTAACATTCAATGATCTCTGCTTAGCCTGTTTCTGCTCTTTGTTCAAGTTCTTCCAGAAGCTATATGTGCATCCCATATTCAATAGTTGTTTGCATAGATCTTCAAGTGTAGCTACATTCAGAAGAATACAATATATTCATACTAATTTTGTTATAAATCACTAGAAGAATTGGTATTGGTTTGTGTGACTTACCATCGTTTATGCGTTTTAAGCCTTCCGTCGAAAACTTATTCCATAATCTGGATCACACCATGCACTTCTCAAAGAAATTTGCAATTTTGTTGCTTGATTATCCCGTTGGCAGGTCAATATGGAAGCTGAGATCCCGTCAACTATAATTTCAGCTGGTCCGCTTGATTGGTTGCGAAGGTGGGTAATCCACAGTTCAAGCCTCAATGACTGTAAGGCCAAATGCTTCATATAGAGCAGGCTGCACAAAAGCTCCTTTTGTATCAGCGATACAACGGTAGAGTTCTCCATTTCTGATCCTGTCACTTTGTGCTACTATCCATCTCATCTGTCCCTTAAGCTGATATTTTCTCCAATGCAGCACTTTGTAATTTCAGCACTTTTCTCTATCTTTTGATTTGGAAGGGTCAAAGAAGGCCCCAACAATGACAAGATTTACCATTTCCCTCAGCTTTGTGTTCTTTCATACCATCAGTTAGTCCTGTCAGGTTCTTCACAACGTCAAGCCTTGCCATTGAGAAGATTGTCCGGTTATTCCGGTCTGCTAGATATCCACTGGTTTGGAAACAAATTAAAACAAGATGTCAGACTGACTTAAATTGACACTCAGGATTTTTCAAGTGAACTTAATTGTGACCAAAACTTACATGTGTTCATCATTTTCCTCTTTATTATACAGCAATGCGTCAATTTCAGGATGATACTTTGTGAGTCGTCTTTGTTTCTCGGTATAAGGAAAATACACAGATTGATCAGCTCCAGGAGCAGCAATGTTAAATTTTGGATCAAAAACATTGATGCCCTTAACAACTCTGCAGAGCCCCGGAAGAGTAAATGCAGCATGGCTCTCATACTGTCCTAGTCTATCTTTGCTGCAAACAACAACATAAAACCAAATATTTTTCAGTCTATGACAATCGTTACAGAATACTTTGTTGAAATAAACTGACAGATCTTCCTAACCTTCCTGCAATCTCCTGGTATGTGCTCGCTATGACGAAATCCGTCGCATTCATTGCAATT